CCCACAAAAAAAAAAAAAAAAACATAAAATTAAAACCGTGGGTAAAATTATTTACCAGAAAGAAAAACTGAAGGTGAAAAGTAGTGACATGACATCCACTGATCCTCATTCCATGATTTCCGTGCAGGAGCCAGTTTGCATCGGCAGACAACACGAAAGAGATGTTCGGTTCAGGAAAAGGGTGACTGAGGAGAATCTTGATAATTTTTGGACCCAAGTCCCAAGTTCCCAACTCCCAACCGAGTGAAAGAAAACCATTGGCATCTTACAAGTTACAGCAACGGGTTAGGGTAATAAGGGCATTTTTGCCATTTAATAAATGTACGTGGAAACCTCCAAGCTCCAGCTGTAAGCATCCAAATCCAACTCAGCCAAATAAAACTCCATGATTAAATATTAGACAAAAAGGAGCATTCGTCGATAGCACTTCTAACTTAGCTTAGGCTCTTCCTATAAATCATAAAATCCCATCATCTTCCTGCATCTCTTCACTTGAGAAATTGAAACACTGAAACGCCCACCCAAATCATGGACACTGTCAAGTCCTTCAAGGGATACGGCAAGGTCGACGAGCATGAAGATCTCGAATTCCGCCGCAAGACCCGCAAGCGTCTCATCATCATTTCCGTATCGGTGATCCTCCTTCTCACCATCATCGTCGGTGCTGTCGTCGGCACAGTCATACACAAAAGCAAAAACGACGACGACGGCCAGAACGAGCAGACTCCCTCGTCCTCCGAAACCTCCGTGGCTCAGTCTATCAAGGCCGTCTGCAGCGTCACCCAGTACCCCAATTCCTGCTTCTCAAGCCTTTCTTCACTGGCCGCCCAGAAAACCACAGATCCAGAAGAGCTCTTCAAGCTCTCCCTACAAGTCGCCCTTACCGAGCTCTCAAAGCTCGCTTCTTTACCCACGAAGCTTATCCCCAAGGTCAACGGCGATCCTCTTCTCGTATTAACGCTGCGTGATTGCCAAACCCAGTTTGAAGACGCCATAGATCAACTCAACATGTCTATCTCGTCCATGCAAGTGAGCCAGGGTGAGAAGTTGTTATCAGCTTCCAAGATCAGCGACCTCAGGACATGGCTCAGCGCGGCAATCACGAACGAGCAGTCCTGCTTAGACGGGCTACAAGAGTTGAACAGCACCACCGCTGCAAACGTGCTTGAAGAGTTGAGGGTAGCAATGAAGAACTCAACCGAGTTTACAAGTAATAGCTTAGCCATCGTGTCCAAGATACTGACCCTTCTCGAGAACCTCGATATTCCAATCCATCGGAAGCTATTGGATGTGGGGTCTGATTCTGATGAGTTTCCGGCGTGGATGCACCCTGATGACCGGAGACTGCTGCAGGAGACGGGAGTGACGCCGGATGTGGTGGTGGCCAAAGACGGGAGTGGCAAGTACAAAACAATCGAGGAGGCGGTGGTGGTTGTGCCCAAGAAGAGTGTGAAAAGATTCGTGATATACGTTAAGGCGGGTATGTACGTGGAGAATGTGGTGGTGGATAAATCGAAGTGGAACGTTATGATGTACGGTGATGGAATAGGTAAGACGATCGTGTCCGGACGATCGAATGTTAAAGATGGGACCCCCACCTTCTCAACCGCCACATTCGGTAAGTAAGCAGCAAACTTGACGATATAAATAAAATATTTTATGTTTAATTTTTTTCTATTCGAGTATTGTCTTTCCATTTTCTTTGTTTGTTTTTTGCACTGGTATGATGCATCTCACCTTTCATTCTTGCAATCTTGCTTCAATGTTATGCTTCTTCTTTGYTCTTAGAAATCTTAAATATTAGGCTAGTGCTGCAGCTGCTGTTGCTTATTCTTGTGTATTGAATTGAGTCAATTGGTGATATAATGAGGTTGTCCTGTAAAATTTATCTTCTTAGTCAAGGACTCAAAGGGGTGTTGATTGATGATTAGGAGATGTGAATTAATAGAGCAATAGATGGAAACTGACTGACAGAAGGTCTCCTCCACCTCCAACTCTCCTCTCCAAGTGGGAAGATGGAGGAGGAATAGTAGTAATACGTTGGGCGCAGCCCGCAAATTACGTAGGAAGTAGGAACGAGTCAAAGGTAGTGGTAGATAGCTGTACCGTGCGGCGGGGCCTGAGGATGCGAAACTTTACATTGCTGGTTGCTTGCTGCATGTGATAGTTCAGCACTTCAGCTATGACTTTTAAAAGTCCCAACAAGCATGGAGGGCCCACTGAAAATGATAAAGGGAAAAATAAAGGAATAAAAGAGACCTGCTACATATATGTTACATGATATGGCCGGTAGGTATTTAGTTGGGGTATAATATACATATGGGGATTTTAACCGTTAATAAATACATTCTAGGTGAAAAGAATCTTGACCGTGGATCATGTGTGTGGGTGTGCTACCCGCATGTCCATTTATTGACATGTGTGTGGGGCTGTTGCTGTAAGCGGGCCGCGAAACACGGAGCATTAACATCATAACATGGGGGTAGGGGGTGCTTCAGCCTTCAAGATAAGATGTGTGATGCGGACTCGAGAAAAATTAGTCTGATTGATTGCTGGTGAGTGGGGCCTGGGGGAGCGGTGGTGGTGACATTTCCATATTTCCTCGACTCAAGAGAAATGAGAGAGATGTGGTGGTCATCACATGACATCAGGTGGCATTGTACCGGTTAACAACATAACATATGTATGTGTATGTCTGAGATTCCATCGTTTCAAATTTTAAATAACAACTGAGATTCTCCTAGTCATCATACTCCAATTTAAAATTTAAATAAAATGGAAACACTAGTCTCAATTACATTACATATATATATATAACATATCAAGAATGCATAAATTTATTCTATATATAGCTGATTATTGTATACAAGTAATATGTAAATGGAAAAAAATGAATGGAACAGATTTCATCTCCATCTATGATATCTAATCTAATGCTCGCTTTAATTCCGTCTGCATGTACAGCTGTTGCTGGAAAGGGGTTCATTGCTAAGGATATGAGCTTCATCAACACGGCGGGACCGGAGAAGCATCAGGCTGTGGCCTTACGATCCGGATCAGACTTGTCCGTATTCTACCGATGCTCCTTTGATGGCTATCAGGACACGCTATACGCCCACTCCAACCGTCAATTCTACCGGGAATGCGATATCACCGGGACCATTGATTTCATATTTGGGAACGCAGCAGTGGTTTTCCAGAATTGCAATATCAGACCCAGACAGCCCATGTCCAACCAGTTCAACACCATCACAGCACAAGGAAAGACGGATGCCAATCAGAACTCTGGGATCTCCATCCAGAAATGCCAACTCGTGTCGGCAGGTGCTAATTTAACGGCCAAAACCTATCTTGGTAGGCCCTGGAAGCCATATTCAACCACAGTCATCATGCAATCGACCATTGGTGGGTTTCTGGATCCCGCAGGATGGATTTCCTGGGTGTCCAACGTGGATCCACCTACCACAATATACTACGCGGAGTATATGAATACTGGCCCTGGCGCTACTACTGACAATCGAGTGAAATGGGCTGGCTATAAGCCCACTATATCTGCCACTGAGGCTGCGAAATTCACGGTGGATTCTTTTATTCAAGGGAGCCAGTGGTTGCCGGAAACTAAGGTGACATATGGTGCAACCTTATGAGGACCGGACCGGACCGGGCCGGGCCGGTATTTATTGTTTGTTTAGGCCGTTTGTTTTTGTCTTTTCTTCACAACATTGATTCTAGCTTATACTTGGTAATTGATATACAGAGAAGTGTACCTTTTCTATAGTCTGATCTGATCAGAAAAAAAAAAGCAAAAAACTTATAACCCTTGTAATATTCTCATCATGCACTATGTTGAAAACAAAAATCATGTAATAAATATATGAGCATTTGAAATACTGTCCAGTCTTTACTTAGGAAATAGGAATTGCCACATCAGCTTCACATGTAAAGAAGCAACGAAAGCCAAAAGCCTTGTTTTAAAAAAAAAAAAAAAAAAATCTCTTGAGACATTTGATTGTTTTGCTTAATAATGTATCATTTGGGATCTCGACATTTTTGAATTAAATTTTTTTAACCAACCGGTATGAATTGTGATCCCTAAATTTAATTATTTAGTTTAGTTTTAACATAAAAAATTACAGAGCTTACATGGTATCAGATTCAGATCATATGGGCGCAACTACCACTACCACTACCACACAGGCATTTCCTCCAGAGTCCAGTCCTATATATTCCTATGAAAACAAAATATTTGGAAATGCAATCTGATTCCGTCTCCAAATTGATTTATTAAACTCAACCACTTAGAGAGCCAAAGAAGCATACAAGTGGTATTTGGACATGAATGAAACACAAAACGTGACAAGTGGTAAATTAGAAGGATGCATGGGCTAAAATGCTATGTACTGGTAGGTTGCAGTGTCATCGTCATCATCATCATCTTCGAGGTCAATACTTAAATCCATTCTCCAACCTGGAGTGGACTCTCGAGTACAATTCTCTCCATCGGAAATATATATTATATTATATTATATAAAAAAAGGGAGTAGGGAGTTGGGAGTTGGGACAGGGTTCTTTCTATTGTTGCTCTATCACACAAAGAATCATGTTATCTCGCCGGCCACCGCCCCTCCAGGTTCCTGTCCCATATTATTTATCAGACAATGGAGCAGTTGCCTCCTCATAATGTGCTTTTGTTTTTTGATAGATATTATTATGTGCTTAACCCTTAACCCCATCATTTATCTTATCTTACTAACCTGACCTCATCCACTGAGAGAGAGAGATTAGATTCATTCATGGATTTAAGGAGTGTGTACTGGGCCCATAAAATGCGTGGGCTCATGTGAATATGAATGTGATGTTCACATCATCACATGGTGGGGATTCACAATGGCTTTAGCCTTTTTCATGCTTCTTTTTCTTTTTCTTTTATTTTCTTTTTTTTTTTAAATCAAAATTAGCGGGGACCTGCACGGAATTTATTAAGTGAAAATAAAATAATAGAAATGGTCATTTACTAAAATACCTCTTATAATTTTATGGATTTATTAAAATCTATCATATAATTAGTATTTTACTAAAACATCATTTATAATTTGCAATGGATTTTAATCAATCTTCCATTAGGGACAATATTAAGGGAAAAATAGGTGACAGTATTGTCCCTAATGTTCACTTAAATAAATTTAATCAAAAGAAAATAAAAATAAAAATACCATTTTTCCCTTAATAAGACACGGGCAACCACTCTATTGGCTATATTTTCTCAATTTTGTTTTCTGTACAAAAAAATGTTAAGAGTATTTTTGGAATAAAAAAATCATGGGCCTAATGGCAAAAAATTAATCCTTAATGAAAATTTGATTAAGTAAATAAGTTGTAAAATATATGGGATGTTTTAGTAAAATGAAAACTATAAGGTGGGTTTAGGTAAATATGTAAAACTATAAGGTGTGTTCTAATAAATGAACTTAATATAAACACATACGAGTATACAATTTTTTTATATTTTCAACTTTTTAAATAATTAAAATTATTCATATTTTATATAATACTTTTAATAATTTTTTTATAATACAAAAATTACAATAATTAATTTCAGTTAGGTTTATTCATCAAATTGATGAAACCGATCAACTTGACTTGAGTTGGTCGGTTTTCTAGTATTTTAGGTTGGTGGTTAAAAAATTTCTCAATTCAACCAAGTTGGATTAGTTTCACTTTGGCCATTTGTAAACCGACCAAAATCGAATGACCTAACCATGGATATATATTAATATTTTATATTTTAAATATGGAAAAGCAAGAACTTTTCCATATTTCTTAGTCTAAATTGTTTTAATTTTTTAAGTTTAAATCTTTTGAACTGGCTGACCAAACCAAAAAATTGACCCAAACTTATACAACTTGAGTGGGTCAGTTTTCACAAAAGGTCAGTCAATTTTAGTTGACCAACTCTCCAACCTAACCAGGTCAATTTGGTTGGCCAAATAGCCTATGACCGAACCGAACCAATTCACGAACACTCGTAATTTTAGCTAAATTAATAGTCTTGTCTCTAATAAATAACAATGGTTTAATCTCCAACATATATTGAAAATGTATAGCGAAAATACACATTTATTGAAAATATATTGATAATAAAAAATACAATAATTACAAAAATACAATAAGTACTAAAAATATATTAACTTAGTCAATAAATAGTATAATCTCCAACAATAGTTTAATCTCTAATAAATATTAATCAATAAGTTATAACAAAAATACAATAAATACAATAAGCACAATAAATTAAATTTAATATTTTCAATAATAGTAGTTTAATCTCCATTAATTATTGAAATTCAATAATAGTAGTTCAATAATAGTAGTTTAATCTCCATAAATTCAATGATGCGCAATCTGGAAGCTCCTAGCTGGAAGATGACCTAGACCTTAGTCATATAGCGAGATGGACCAAGCTGCAAGACAGAGGATTAGAGCACCTGGGGCGGTTAACCCGGTGAGGTCGCTCCGATGCTTAAGTTAGTACTGTGTCGTGATTACGAGCTAGAATTTGTGTGCTAGAGAGCTTGGATGGAAGTAATCGCGCGTACCTGAACCATGCCTTTATTTAGCTGAGTTAATGCGGATTTCCTGGAATAGTTTCAAGATTTGTGGCTTGAATGGACGAGATTYGTTTCCGCTTTAGTCGGGGAGTAACGTATCAGTCAATGAACCTCATTATCGCCGCCCATTCGGACGGGGAGAAGATAAGGCTTTCCGTTATAAGGTATGATTCCGTAATATTCGAAGTCTGCTGGGAAGCTATTGGGATTGATTACGTGTCACTTCAGTTTCTGGGCCCCAAACTCGATTAGGTGCCGAGGTGACTTTATGCCGAGCTCCGCATACCGCTGACTAGGCTCCCCTTGCTGAGTTGTCATCCTACAGGCAGATCGCGTCCACGTGACTTTTATTTACTAGGTCGTGCCAAATTACACCTCATCAATTGCCTCCCACTCCTCATGGCAGGGGTCCTAACCTGACGTGGGGAGTTCACAACGAGCTTAGGTGGATTTGGCACGGAATCTAGATGATGTGGACAAGGCAAGGCCAAATTACACCTCATCAAAACACGTGGTAAATCGATTTCAACCTCAAGAGGCGTGCAATTGGTTTTCCTAGGAGCTGTCGGATCGTGTTGATCTTGACCGTTGATTTCCGGATATACTGGTTATAAGTAGGGGCCTAAGGGCYCATTTTCTTCGCCACAAGTCCGCAAGTCCACAATTTTTGAACTCGCGCTCAAGTCTTCCAGTTCGGTATCAGCCTTTTTTGGGTCTGAGGTCGCCTCCCTTTCTTCGGTCTGCCTTTTGGTGAGTCCACCTTTCTTTTCTTTTTCTTTTTCCTTTTGATTCTGTTGTCCTTTCCTTTAATGTCTAGTCTTAACTTAGATAGTCTTCTAKACGGGAGCGGTGAGTCCACTGGGGCCGAGATGGGTACCTCGGCTCAGACTGTGGATCCTCATCCAACCGAGGTGATCACTTCAAGACAGGATGTGGTCCTCAGTCCGCCTGAGGYGGACTCACCTCGGTGGGAGTGAGAAGCTTMTGGTAAATCGGCTTCCACCTCACACCGAGGTCGGCTGCCAGACAACTTCAGCCCGTCGATAATGATGGTGGACAGGGTCCTAGCCTTTGTAGCCCGGTACAGACTCCCTAGCGACCTTGTGTATTGCATCCCCTTAGTCAACTTTCCTTGGGATCATGATCACAATGAGATCGTGGTCTTCGAGGAGGAGCTCGTAGCCGGTTTGCGTCTTCCACTTCACCCTCTTATAATCGAGATCGTTATATTCTTTAACATTACCATAGACCAGCTACACCCGAACTCTATCYGTAATATCGTAGGGACCATTTCTCTTTTCCATGATTACAACCGTCCCCTTAACCTCGACGTCTTCTCTTCGATCCTTTCCATTAAGAAAAAATCATCTTGCGTTCTGCCCGAGCACAGGCGAACTTACTACTTGTCTCCTTGTCTCGGGTACAAACTGTTGCACGAGCTCCCTAACAAGGTCCCGACTTTGAAGAGGCATTACTTCGTGGTYCGCAACACCGATGGGTGCCCCTTCCCGACTCATTGGAGGGCAGCCATCCAGGACCCTGGTGTTAGACTGGACCTGAAGACAAGGGAGGCGGTCCGATTTTGGGTGGAGCTTGGCCTGAAGTTTGAAAAATTTGTGACCGAGGAGAAGCTCGTGCAAGTCGGCCTAAGTCCTCCTGGTAGGTCGCTACTTGTTGTACTTTTTCTATTCGTTTTACCTCGGTACTGTATTTGACTTAGCTCGTTTCTTATCGCAGTTGCCATGGACGATATCCTTGTCGATGAGCTCTTTGGGAGCATGAAAAAGGGGAAGAAGAAGAAGAGAACCTCTAAAAAGGCTCGCGTCATGACTGAAGCAGCCACAACTGAGGTTGCCGTTCTTGAGCCCGAACACCCACCTATTGTCGAGCAGCCTCCCGTAATCAATCTGGTCGAGGAGGACTCGGGCAAGGCCACCCCATCCTACATACCCGAGGAGGCTATGTCTTCAGRGCCTGTTCCAACGACCACCACTTCTTTGGGCAGCAATGCTCCAGYCCGAAGCATTTTGACTCCGAAGTTTGGCCTTCTCAAGAGCAARGATGAGATGTTTACTGAGGAGATCGCTCGTTGGGCCGACTTGCCAGTTGCTTAGCTCGGGGCCCGAGCGACCACACACTGTATGGTGGTATGTTCTTGAACTTATCTTTCAAATTGTCTTATACTTAGATCTTTTGTATATTGATACTCGTTTTCTTCTCTTTGCAGGTGAACTCCTCTATCCATGCCTTGGCTTACCAGTCCGAGGTGAACCTAAAGCAGGCTCTCGAAGCTGAGGAGTCTTCCCGAAATGCCCATGCCGAATTGAATTTAGCTCGCAATGAAATCAACCAACTAAAGAATGATGCGCGAGCTAAGAAGGAACTCCTAACTCTATTGATGATAGAGAAGAAGGAGCTCGAAGAGCGTGAAACGACATTGAAGAGGGAGATTGAGAACCTCGAGGCCCATGTGAAGAAATGAACCAAACTCCTGTTTTAGGCGATGGAGGAGGCCAATGTTAAGGCAGTTGAGGAGTACAAGTCCTCAGTGGAGCTTCGGGAAAGGTTGGTTGAGGCAGGGACAGCGGACTACCGTAAGGGGTTCAAGCTCAATAGGTGGTTGACCCGGCGTAAATTTCCCCACCTCGATCTCAGTGCCATCACCATGTTGAAGATCACCAAGGAGATGGCCATTGAAGCTGCCAGGGATCCGGACTTCGAAGCGGAGAGTGATGACGACCTGCTTGATGACAAGGGAGAGGAGACCGGTGCTACCGAGGACCATACAAAGACAGATCCTCCTGCTGAAGTCTCCACTAAGGATGAAGAGCCTTGAACAGATTGAAGCCTCTTTTCTTGGACCTCCCCCTTTTGTAATGCTCAATGTTCCGAGCCTCGGAGCTCGGTTAATTGTAATCTTTCTCTTCTCTTTTTTTTTGTACTCAAAGTTTTTATCAATGAAATAAAAGTGTTTTGCAATCTATGTGTGTAAATTTTTCTAAGTGTAGATTACTCCCGATCTGGCGAGCCAAACCAAATAGAAGTAAAAATTTTTTCTAAGTATAGATTACTCCTGAGCTGGCGAGCTAAACCAAATAGGAGTGAAATTTTTTCTAAGTATAGATTACTCCCGAACTGGCAAGCTCGACACTAGTAGGAATAATCTAATCGTCATTGTATGCCAGGGTGAAAAGACACTGTAGGGTACATACCCGACCTGTCTGTGCCTGGGTCACTTTGCTTTGCCCATGACAAAGCGATTGGGTTTTAAGCTGCCTATGCTGAAGAGGCGACTAGGACTTTTATCGTGTCGAGGCCTGTTATCAGCTCGGCACCATAGCCCTTTGGCTTCTAGGAGTGACTTATAGTCCCCTCTCCGGCTCGTCGTCTATTTGACCAGTTTGGTGATCTCATGAGTGACTTATACCTGGAGTTGTGGGCTCATACATAGTACCTTCTTAAGTTGTCGATGTTCCATGCTCGAGGTACCAGCTTCCCTTCCAAAGTCTCGAACTCATACGTGCCTTCCCTGTAAACTTGTCTTATACGGTATGGACCTTCCCAGTTTGATCCGAGCTTATCCACGCCGGGCTCAGGTACCATAACTTTCCGTAGGACTACATCGCCGATACGAAACTGCCGCTTCTTGACCTGGGCGTTATAGTACCGAGCCACTTTCTGCTGGTATGCCGCAGTCCGGATGTAGGCCATGTCTCGTACCTCCTCTGCAAGGTCTAGGTTGGTACGGAGCTCGTCATTATTTTCTTCCTCATCATAAGCCTCAAGTTGCAATGTAGGTACTTCGATTTCTGTCGGGATCATCGCCTCTGTACCATATGTGAGGTTAAAGGGGGTCTCACCCGTCGCTGTCTTGATGGTAGTCCGGTAGGCCCAAAGAACGCTGGGTAGCTCGTCCACCCACAACCCTTTAGCTTGTGCAAGACGAGCTTTCAACCCACGAAGGATAGCTCTGTTCGTTACTTCGGCTTGCTCGTTTGCTTGTGGATGTGCTACTGAAGTAAAGTTCTGCTGAATCCCCATCTCAGTGCACAAGTTTTGGAATTTAATATCTTCAAATTGCTTCCTGTTATCCAAAATCAAGATTTTGGGGAGTCCGAAATGGCACACGATGTTTTTTCCAAAAGAAATTTTGCACGTTCCGGGTTGTAATGCTTACTAGCGGTTCGGCTTCCACCCACTTCGTGAAGTAGTCTACTGCCACGACTAAGAACTTTCTCCGTCCGGTTGCTGGCGGAAATGGACCGACGATGTCTATTCCCCACTGTGCGAAGGGCCACGGGCCAGTAAGATACTTTAAATCGGTAGCAGGTTGATGGAGGATGTTGGCATGCCTCTGACATCTATTGCATTTCTTGACGAGTTGAATGAATTCGTATTGGGCTTAAAAAAATTGAGCTCTTGACCTAATATATTCAATAGTTGGATTGCTGAATGTAATTAATTAATTAATTAATTAAGTAGGTGTTTGGCTTCGATGATGGGAACTAGGGCTATTGACGGGTCGGGTTGGGTCGGTTTACTAGTATTTTTTCAATCGACCTAACCTGGTCGGGTTACCTATAGATCAAACCGGAACCGACCCTCTATTAAATAAAACCGATATGGTCGGTTTGGGTTTCAACCAACTCCAAACTTGCACAATGCACATGAAGTCAAAGTGCTAATATTATATATAATATTTCAGAATATATTTCCTGGAAATATATATTTAAAACCAAAACATATAACAAATATAACAAAATATATATTTTCTWWTTTCTGGAAATATATATCTGATATATTTCAGAATATATATTTTTCAGATGTATATTTATTATTTAAAACTAAAATATCTATATTTAATAGATATTTTTTTCAGAATATATATTTTTTCACATAACTTGGTCCAGTTTTGGTTTTCACATATGAAAACCGAAGCTGAACCGAATAATCGGTTTATTCATCTTTGCAAACCGAAACCGATTAGTAGTGAAGAAAAACCGGACAACTCGGGTTGGGTCAGGCCGGGTTGGTCGGTTTGGATTTATTTGTGAACAACCCTACTAGGAACATTGTTAAATGTAATTAACTAATTAATTAAGTAGCTTTTGACCCAAACAAAAAATGGTGTGCTTATTTTTTGTTTGGAACCGATGCTGCCACAGACATTTTTTGAGAAAACAACACTGGTTTTGTTTGGTAACGGTGCTGGTAGTGACGTTTTCAATATTGATCTATATTATCAAAYGTCCGATATGATGCCACATTGATGCCATGTCATTGTATCATTGGCAGCAACGCACTGTTTTCTCAGAAAACATTACATTTGGTGTTGCTCCATGCCACACTTTCCCAATTTCCAAAGCATGGTTTAGAGCAACATTTTTTTTTTTTTTTTTTCTTCTGGACGATACCAAACAAAAGGGTGCTATTTGAAGCAGAAAATGGCATTGATGCCAAACATCGCCTAATTGGGCCCGTGTAATGCTAATGCTGATAAGGAGGTTGATAATGCGATTAGGTATACTACGACATTTTAATTAACTCATGAAGAATTAATCCTGTAGTACAGTAGCTAATCATGTATAGTGCCGAAAATTACTAGCTGAATTGTCAGAAATTTGGAACGTGGGATTTAAGGAGGAAGAGTTAATTATAGGTGGAATGAAAGTTATAATATTTTCTTTTTCTATGCATGATTTAAATAGTAGAACAAGAATAAGAACAAGAACAACAACTAATGTATAGAAAAATACAGAACTAACACCAGCAACACCACCACCATCGATCACTGCTTGAAGTCTTAAACCTATAAATGACTGGCAGAAACTCTCCCGTCCCATTCAACATTGCTAATTAACCCTTGTGAATCAATATTAATTAATTGTTAAAGTTAATCCACCTCGAATGTCGTCGATCGTCCTTTCAGTCATCAATAATTCAGTACAGTATCAATTTTTTTTTTTCTTCTATTGGGAGCTTGTTTGTTTGTCTGTCTGTTTGTTTGTTTGTTTAAAATGCCACTTAAATTTGTAATAAAAATGGTCAATATTGTACAACACGCTCAGTTATATAAGCCTTGACGAAATGGTGCACCTGAGGCCTGAATCCAGTTTGTTTCTAAGAAAGTTCCGACAGTAAATTTATCGGCTTCATCCTTTTTAATGACCTTAAAACCAGGCCATTTGACACGAGCGGTAAGCTTAGCCCCAGGTCCCCTATTGTTGTACTCTGCATAAAACAATGTGTTGAGGGCAAAGTCACCATCCCAAGGTAACCATCCATCTGGTTGAATCACATCGCTGATGGTTGATTCCATAATAATAGTCCTAGAATACTCCTTCCATGGCCTACCAAGATAACTCTTGATCTTTGTCCTATCAGGTACTAGTTTATCATCGGGCAAGATGCGACTATTTTGTATAACAAGGGCTGTAGTTTCCCGCTTGTCCGCCCTTCCTTGGGCAGTAACAGTGTTCTGCTGGTTGTCTAAGGGCTTTCGGACCATAATCATACAGTTCTGAAGGATTGCTGATGCATCGCCGAAGATGAAGTCGATAGTGCCGGCAATCACACAACTCCGGTAGAACTGTCGGTGGGTTTGTACATATAGCGTATCTTGGTACCCTTCCATCCTGCAGTTGATGAAGACGGAACGGTCAGCTTGGACCCGGAGGGCTACTGCCTGATGCTTTTCTGGACCAGCTGTGTTTCTGAATCCCATGGCCATGGCCGTGAACCCTTCGCCCAGTGCCGCTACGTACCAAAAGAAGAAGAAGAAGAAGAATCAATATAATATAGGATCGACACATATTACCATAAATTAATTAAAACAAACTTACCAAAAGTTGCAGTCTGGAAGGTCCTAATCCCATCTACAAAATTCTTGCTCCCTGTGACAATGCTCTTCATTGATCCATCCCCATACATTGTTACATTTACCATATCCTTGGTCACTATCACCGTCTCATCGTAAACTCCTGCCTTAACGTAAATGACGTACCTGCATGAATTTAAGGGATTGCATCGTCTCGATTCATTCATGGACAAGGCAAGGCCAAAAAAAGAGAAGAAGAAAAATACTTGATGATTATCAGTTTGTTTTGTAAAATAAAGAGGAAGAGTGGAGGAGGTAGCATACCGCCCAGTGTATTTTTTAGGTATTTTAGCCAAAGCATCGGAAATGGTTTTAAAATCTCCACTTCCGTCTTTGGCCACAACGGCATTGGGCTTGAGGTTGACGGAACGTGCCTTCAACATCCTGCGGTCTTCATGGGACATCCAATTAGGGAGGCCGTCCTCACCCAGACTGGTACTGGTACTGGTACTAGAACTAGTACTAGTACTGGTGGCTTGTAGAAGGCGACGTTTGTTTCCTCCCGATAACTGGAGAGTTGACAAGATGGAGGACACTTCAGCGACAATGGCAAGAGCATTGCTAGTCAAAATTTTTGTATTACCCAAGGTCTTCTGCATTTTGGTTTTGGATTTCCCTTCAGGGAATCCATCAATGCATGTCTGCTGGTATGATATTACAGCACTTAGCCAATTATTCAAGTCATCAGCCTTGGAGGGGAGCATCTCGACGTCCTTGTCACTAACGGTGGAAATTGAATCCTGTAATTCCTCCTTGGCATCTTGAAGCAGCAGCTTACAATCCTCGTAGGCACCTTGCTCTTCTTTGTTTTCGAAACGGAACTTTGATGTTTGGTTGAGCACATTCTCAACCTCATCCAGGGTCACCACAATCGAAGCCCTGAGAGCATCCTTGGGGTTGGTGGAGGAGGCATTATTCTTCAACACCTTCTTCAGGCTTGACTCGCATACGCTTTGGTAGTCTGTAGGGTTACATATCATCTTTATCCTATCGGCGCGCTGCGACTTATCTTTTTTAGGCTTTACTTCTTGCTGAGACGACTTGCTTGAACCTGAACGCTCCGATATGTAAACGATGGCGAAGACGCCTGCGGCAATTATAATAAGGAGAACAACTATAACAACTGCTGCGATGGTTAACCTCTTTCTCAGCTTTTCCTGCCTTTCCGCCCTTCGACGGGCTGACACCTGGCTGAATTCTTGGAATGCCATGCTTTTAGCTTGATTAGCTGAGGCAGAGGCAAGGGGGGGGGGGAGTCCCTCTGCCTTAGATCCTCCAAGCTAAGGCAGAGAGGACGGGAGGCAAAGGGTATGTTCTTTGTTGTTCCTCTTGCTTCTCCTCCTCCTTCCTCTTACTCTTCCCCTTTTTATTTCTTTTTTCTTCTTCTTCTTCTTCTCCTCCTCAGTTTTCGAATTGTTGGGAGCTGGACAAGTTTGAAGTATTCCATTTAAAAGTTGGTCAAGGGAAATGGGTGATGGGGATGAATCATCTAACCGTCTCACCACTTCCCCCGCTATTTTAAAATTGACTATTCTTTCTACCTGCTAACTTACAATAATACCCCGCCATCCATTCATTCATTCATCTTTCTTATTGTGTTGTTTCTTCTCCGACGAGGGATAATGAAGTAATTTTGCACGAAGCAGCCCTATATACTTTGTGGCTGTGATAGTTTTATTCTATACCCTTTAAAACTTTTAATTTGGTTTTCCTTTTTCTTTTCCTTTTGTGAAACTTTATACAACCCTTAACCGACTCCTAGCAAATTAATTTGTGGTAATGATCGCTAGTTATTATTATTTGTATTTACCTAATCTTGTGTAAATTCTGTTAACTAGGCCAGGCCAACAGTCACAAAATTAATTAAGTAAATTTGTCTCCCACAAATTACGCCAAACATGCAAATACAATTACAAACACCCTTAATTTCATATATGCCTATATATGCATAATACATACATATTACAAACGCATGCATGTCATTTAATCGATTAATTTGATTAAAAGAAGCCAAACTTTAATTGATTATCTCCTCCCAGTTAAGTCCAAACTACTTGCATGTAATCTAGGGATAGCCAACTAAAATGAAATCATTTCATTTGAAGTAGTGGATGGAGTACTTATAATTATTAAATAGTACAAGAGAGCTAGAGGAAGGTGTAACTGTGAAATTAAGTTAATAAAACCTATAAATAGTTACATTTCATTTGATTTTGTACATTTGAATAATGTATCCTAATCGCCAGTTTGCCATTACAATAATCCCCCATTAAACGGTATATCTGTGTAAGGTAACCAAGTATCACCCATGGTGAAGTTATAAACCGTAAAATTCCAAGCTTGTGAAGCATTCATCAAGCTATAACCAGGCCATTGCACTCTCATACTAGTAATAGCACCTGGTCCATAATTCTCAAACTCACCATAGAAAAGGGTACTTAACCCAACCGTTCCATTCCATTCCAACCAACCCACGGGATCGATGAGGCTATCAATATAAGACTGCATGTATACAGTCCGTGAATACTCTTTCCAGGGTCTACCAAGAAAGTTACTAGTTGAGTTCAAGTCCTCAGCCAAGTCTGGAGCAGCTCCAATAGTGCAATTGTGGATTGAGATCCCCGTGTTTTGATTTGGGTCCGTCCGTCCTTGGGCAGTGAACGCATTCTTCTGGTTGGGCATGGGTTTACGAGCATATAGGTTGCAATTCTGCAACACTGCGGCGGCATTCCCGAATATGAAATCTACTGTTCCATAAACATCGCATTCCCTGTAGAACTGTCTTAGACTATGTGCGTAGAGGGTGTCTTGGTAACCTTCAAAACTGCAGCGGTAGAAGGTGGAGACGTCGGCATTGTTCCTTACTGCCACTGCTTGGTGTTTTTCCGGCCCAGCGGTGTTCCTGAAGCTCATATCTACGGCAACAAATCGCTCCCCAGAAACAGCTGCATTGAGAGAGAGAAAGTAGTTTAAATTTGTCAATTTCAAATGGTAAAGAATGATTAGCTCAGCTAAKCAGTACTCATCAAGACTACTCCACGAGTCCAGCCAAAAGGAGCTCGATTCATGCCTTACGCCCATGGCCCATGTGCAGCTTTAGGCAAAGAGATGGGCTTGGGCTAAAACTCTAACATATGCCCATGCGCAGGTTAGGCCATGATTTTCATGCCTCAGATATGATATACCCATGCATGTGCAGACTGCAGAATCCGCAGAGAGATGGGCTTGGGCTAAAATTCTTAATATAAAGGCCTGCCCATTGCCCGGTTCAGACCTTTACGTACCCAAGCCAACAATTTTAAACTAATTTTCTTATATTAATTGTGTAATTGTGTGTCTCAAATAGAAATAATTACCCGAGCCAAGTAAGAGTATTCAGTACTGACCAACTGTTGCTGAGTTGAAGGTTGTCCAGCCATCCACCACGCTTCGATTCCCAGTAACCACTGTGCGGTTGATCCCATCACCAAGTAACATTATATTCTTCTTGTTTTTGGCTACAACCACATACTCCTCGTATATTCCTTCCTTGACGTAAATTACAAAGTAGCCATCTTCAACCTTGGAATTATTTGGWGCAAATGCAATTGCATCGCCGATCAAACTGAAATTCCCGCTTCCGTCCTTAGCAACTATAGCAGTGTCGTTCACCAGGATCCTATCACCCAGTCTTTCAGCCAAAGTTTGATTCTGGCCACCACTCTGAAAACCGATAAGACTCCTCCCAGGCTGTTTGGTCCCTAACAGCAGCAAATCTAAGTAACAAATTATTACTTTATTTTTTCCTTCCTTTTGCTATTTTAGTTACTGACAGACAGTGAGACAGCCATGAACATATATATAATATATATATATATATATATATATTATATAAATGCAAAGGAACCCAACCTCTATCATCAGTAGGTCTTGACAATGTCCTTAAAGTATGTATTTTGATTTTTGAACCAGGCAGGCAGCCAACCAGATGGATGGATACACCTTCAAATTTGACATTAAAATTTTCAATACTCATTATTGTGGGATTTCCAAAGAAGGCCTTCAGGCAGAACATTTTATAGTCACCACGAGTATGGGGTTTCTAGATAAATAATGGGATTTCAATACTCATTTAATAACATAATGCTTCACTTTTTAGGTTTCTAAATAATGGGTAATAGCATATTGAGCTACATGAACGAGATGGATGTGTATGTGTGAGGGCAATGAGGTAACTAGGTGATGCATTAACTTTATTAAGGGAAATTCTTACCGAATTTGAATTTGAAATCCCATCTAATTAAGGCAGTTCAAATTCCGCTTCTATTCTACAGACAGCGGGTATCTGGAATTGCACTTTTACTTGAGAACCACATGTTCAAGTCTAATACAAGTTATTTTCAATTCATTCTATTTTTAGTTTAACTTCGTTCAATGATATACCGTGTTCAAATCCATATCCAATCTGAGTCAAATTGGGATCTGGATATTAATGGGTCAAATTTATTCAGATATATCATTGTATCAGTTTGCAGCCCAGATAGCGGGACATCACATACTGATTGTAGCGGGTTTACAACGGCAACTGAGCTGTGAGCTGTCTGGTGCCTGCCAATATCATTGGCGGTCCCATTCACTTTAGGCTCATTTTGGAATATGTACAGTATAAATACATACAAAATAATAAAAAATATAACGCTTAGGAAAATTATTTACTAAGTAAATATAATTATTCGAGTAAATTTTTTACGTTTATCGAAAATAAACTTTTCTAATCCCCACATTAAAAAGCATACTTGCTCTCAGAATCCAAAAAAAATGCCCCCAAGACCAAGTTTGCAAAGAGTACAAATTCAAACATGTAAAAGGCAAAACATTGTATTTTATATTATTTTGTATACTATACATATTTGTATTTATCATTCTTCCAAACTGAGCTCAAGTCAGTCTAGAATGATCTGATTCAACCAAACCAGTTGCAAAGCGGCAAGACAGTGATAGTTGTGTCTCATTTAGCTAAAAAGAAAATGGGCTACTACGTTAGTTTGTCTGGGCTGAGATAGTAGATGGAAGGAATTGGGATCTGTTTCTCGCAAAGCGGGCCTCACACCGTCCTCACGGCCAGKACATGCTGTGAGGCGCGCTCTGTCAGTAGCAGATCCGAACTCATTTGAAAGTCGGAAGGCTCTGAACACTGACCCCACAAAACTGAAACTACAGCACAGGAATTGTTGTCTTTTACTTTTCTTTTTTTTTCTTTCTTTTGATAAATTTGTCTTTTAACTAATTTAAGCTTGGCTGCTCTGTATTTCTGCTATAGTARTTAGAATTAGAGACCCTAGTCGCTAAGTTAGATGGGCAAGGTCTGCTTCTTTTCTTACCTCGGTCGGATTGGGATTGGTACCCGGCTCTCCATACCCGGTTCACGTCGGACAGAAACCGCTCCACCTCGCTCGTCTTTCGTTTCCTTCCCCGGTGTTTCCGCCGAGCCAGAGCCTGAGTCACCAACCCAAGCGAAACGCTATACAACTGAGTGGCATTACTTAAGGGTGCATACAGAGCACCCATCATGGCACTCCCGGAAGCCTGAAGCCCATCAAAGCATGTTTGCTGGTTCGTCACTATGGCACTCAACAGGGTCTGGACCTGATCAACCAGGTCGCCCGTCAGTGACTCGGCAGAGTTCAGTTCTGTGGTGATGGTCACCAAGTAGTCCACATTGAGATCGGACAACTGTCGGCAGTCGTCTAGCGCACCGGCCTCTATGTGGCTTAGAGTGGAGCGTTGATTGCGGTTGAGGTACCGGCCGATCAGATAGGAGGTCTTCCTGGCTAGCTTGAGGCACTGCTTGACGGAGAAGCGGCCGTAATCGTAGGGGCTGGAGGGAGAGAAGCGGAAGGCCGATAGGATGGAACGGCAGAGCTTGGGGTAAAGAGTGAACTTACAAGCGGCGGAGGGTGACGGAGAGAGTGGCGGAGGTGGAGGGGAAAGGGAAAGCGGTTGGAGGGCAGGCAGGGGAGGTGGAAGTAGTAAGAAGAGAGAGAGTAGGAGAATGAGGTAAAGTGACGGTGACGGCATTGTGTTCGGTTTGAACATTCGAGTGCTCATTTTGGATTCTGGTTGGATTTTTCATTTTGGATGGCCGGCCGTATTTAAAGAATAATATGGAGTATTGTTTATGCTAAGGAGACGCGCGTGGGTTGAAATAAATAAAAACGCTCATTTTTATTTGGAAAAAATACTAAACCTTCCATTTCCATATGGCCTATGGGTGGCATTATTTTATTTGCATGTGATATAACATTAACATGCATCTAAAATTATTTCTGCCATTAAAAAAAATCTAAAATTATTTCAAACCCCCAATTTTGCTCTTGATGGTTGAAAATATCATTATAAATATAAATTAGTTGGACATTAATTGTCTTTTGTGTTGTTGGCTATCAGGCTATGATTATGAAACCGAAGGGAGGTCGGTCCGAAATGGATGGCAAGAAGTCTGAATTCTCTTGCCCAGAGAAATCTGATATTAGTGGAGCTAGAGAGAGCAAACGGTCCAGTGGAGTGGAGTACCTCTTTTCCGTTCACTCTTTGAAAATGGATTGGAAGAACGGTCAGATTAGAGATTCCATTGAAGAGCTAACAAGGGCAGAAAAGACTTTTGGATAGTTTCGTCAAACATGACTGATGGAAGTACTATTCACGTCATTTTAAGAAAAGGGCGGAACGGATCCTGACCGTGGAAAACCCCTTATCCTTTAATAATAATTTAGGGAAATATTTAGAGAGAGAGAAGAATGGAGGTATTTTTCTTTTCTTTTTTTTTTTTTTTTTCTAATTTAATGGTGAATGGTGAATGGTGAATGGTGATCACGCAAGTAATGCAAGGCGAGGGTGAAGTAATTGATGAATCACGATGAGGGTGAGTGGGTGTTGTGCTTGTGCAGAGCGTCGCCTGACGTGCATTAACTGCGCGTTGGGGAAGAAATCAAAATAGCACTGCACCTGCACGTTATAATTTATTATTATAGGGGGTATGCGGTGGGACGAGAGAAACCGCGTGGGTAGGTATTATTGCTGTGATGGGGGGTTTAGGTAAGTCGTGGTGTGACCGGTTTCAGTGAGATTCTTTCATTTAATGACCAACAGACAACAACAAGGAGAAAAGGAGATGTCACCCATTCACATGATAGAGGAAGCCAGGAAAAGTTTTCATTGTCTCGAATTGGGACTGTTATGGATGAAACCCCATTGTTATAGTTTATAGTTTGATACGACGGGAAGGTTCAAAGAAAGAGAGAAAGAGTAAAGAGTTAAAAGTTAGGTTCAAAATCACCTAAAGAATGAGAGATGATAAGTAAAGGTAGGTTAAAGGCGGTTTATCTTTTATCTTTCATCTTGCAATGCAAGATTAGAGATGGTCTCCTAGCCAGGCCCAGGTGGACAGGGATGCATATATGAATTGAAACCCCGCTTTCCATGCAGCACTGAAGTTTTGTAGTTACGTTATATATAAATATAGATTCCTGAAACTAATCTGTCGCTGGTTTCATCACACTGCCAAAATCAGCTGTATTGTTGTACGGGAAAGAGAGAAACAAAAAGAAATTAAAAAGGAGAAAAGGAATCCAATCATGACTACATTCCCCAGCAGCCCAATCACTTGCGTACATCTGTACATGGACAGGACTGGCCGACTGGGCAATTGGGCATGGACCTATTAAGCAGTATCACAAATTATCCCTAAAATTTACAAGTGGAGAGATAGCCACCTAATAAAATAGAAAACCAAAGCATTATGCGGTTTAACTTTCTTCATGGGCTGTTCGAAGCATTGTCAAAGTGTGGGACCTTGGTTGTCACACCTTCCTCTGATTCGACCCTTGGCATAAGAGAGGGTTGGTCTCTCAAATCCCTCAAGTAATTTGAAGTAATCCCAAGTGGCATTGTTCGAGACTCCCGAATGGTTAAGCTGAGTTTCTTTGTTAAGTAACTACCCGTTGATTTTTTTTCATGGGAATATCCCTCGCCATTCCTTCATTTTCTGGTTTGCCTGATGAAAAGCTCTATTTACTAAAGATCGGCTATCTAGGCACAAGACTGTTATCAATGATGCAAAATGTGTCATGTGTATACATGAGCATGAATCTCATGACCATAATTTTGCTCATTGTTAACTTTTTGGTGGAGGTTTGGCAGTCAATTTTAGGCTGTTGTGGATTAATGTGGCCTAATATCTTATCCTGGGACCAGCTTATCGAATGGAGCTATGCTCACTTGAATGGCCTAATAACTTTTTTTTTTTTGCTTGACTTGGAATATAGTGATTTACCATATTTGGTTGGAGAGGAATTAGTGAGTTTTCTGAAATGATTATCACCACCCAATCGTTACTCAACAGTGAGTTGTTTCTGATGTGGTGGGTCAGATTGAGTCAGAAAAGTTGGAGGTTGAAGACTCGACTAATGCTCGTGAATTTATTAGAAATTGGGGAATCCAAGCGTCCTTTTCTAATCTTAAGGGCTTATGGCTTCGGTGGGAACCATCTCTTTGAGGGTCATCTATGTTAATCCTTGTTGGAAGAACATAAYGACTTTGGATTTCTTTTGAGGGATCATATGGGAACCCCCCATCGGTACCCTCGCAGTTGGTACCCCCTAGTGCCTATCCTTAGTCTATAGTTGGAAGCCATAAGACGAGCTATCATTGAATCCGAGAGAAGGGGTTTTCAAAGGATAGTTATCCGGTCTAACTCTGTCTGATTGCTGTGAATAGTTTGAATGGGCACGTGTCTACTCCTTGAAAGCATTATGGCACGTCATTAAGATCATGAATCTTTGMAACTATTTTGAGTATTTTACCTTTTATTATGCATATAGAGAGACTAATAGAGTGGTTATTTTTTGTCGAAATTAATTTTAGATGTAAATAATATTTTCTTAGAGCCGAATGAGTTTTCTGACCCTCTCTCGCCTTATTGACTAAGACGCAAGAGGAGCCATTTAGCTGTTTCTCATTTTCTTTATGTAAATAATTTACTTTCCTTTATTTAAAAAAAAGCTACGTACCAGTCCAGTAATAAACTAATAGTGGCTTCTGCCGTCTCGTACAAACAAGAGTGGGTTGATTATCAATAATGGGACTACCTACCGCTGTTATCATTATCAATTACTCCATGGGACCCTTCACCCTTCACCCTTCACCCTTCACCCTTCACCCTTCACCCTTCACCCTGCCTTTTGTTATGTTTCAGTTTTGGGTGATCGAATACTGATGACTACTAGTGTTGTGTAGGAACTAGCACGCACTATACCAACTTCTTGAGTGCTGCTCGCTTCTACTACCTTCTACTGTTTGATTTTACTTTTTAGTATTAATTTCTGGGTATCCAGACACAACAACCAATTATCATATTATATATACATAAACTATATAATATGACAGAAATTTGAAATTACAGCCTCTATAATCTATAATCCCCTTATAAATCGCATCTTGTCTATGAATTTGCTATCGATTCATGGTCGAGTTTCATCCAAGACTAAAAATTTTGAAATGAATTGAACAATCATTCTCCCAAAAATAAAACCAATTAATAATCTAATCTTAATCTAATTCCATGCTATTGATAATATATAAATATTTGTCACACTTTTTTTTTTTTAATTATTTGTTCCTTTTGTCGTAGCAATTAGGATTAGCCTGCAAATAAGCAAAAGGGTTGATTTGTATAAGTGATTATTATATGACATCTTTTATTTTCTTGCTTGCCTCAATTTAGATTTGCCATCTGCATGGCTATCTTTTTGAGCTCACCAATCGCCATAGAGCCCTGAGTCAAAAAAAAAAACATGAGCAGACAAATGYTAAAGTCCCGACTCCATTTAATTTGTCTAAAACCAGGAGGATAAAGGACAATTTTGACGGAAGCAGTTCTCAAGTCAAAGTTTGTAAGCCGCGTTGGAATCAGTCGGTGATCCATGTTTTTTAATTTTATATTATGCTATTTGCATACAAGTACAAACTACATTCTTTCTTCTATCAAAACCAACAAAACAAATCCCAACATACTAAAACTAAAAGAAAAATGTTCTTTGTTTTCTTTATAATACAAAACTATAAGACTCTCCCATCAAACTGCATACCGCTCACCACATGTTCTTATTTACAATGTGGGAGGTACGTGCGTGCGGGTGTCAATCTACCATTTTTAGATTGGACTCGTCTAAGTTAAAATCAATTTGTACGGATTAGATGGATGAATAAGATATATTGAATTGAAACAATTCAGATTTGATGGATTGAATTGGCGAACTTGGTCTATCTTTAATGGGTTGAATTGGGTTTGATTGGACTAATATACGGCCCATTAACAGAAAATAAAAATACATGTCAATGGATCATGTTTGGGCTGGAATCAATCTAACTTTAAAATTTAAACCAATAACTTGAATAGATTGGACAGTCCAAATTGATTCAAAGTATTCATTGGATTGAATTGAATTTGGTCTATCTATAATAAATTTATATTTGACCAGACCAGATTAGACCAAATCTGATTCAATTGACACCCTAGAGGTATGTAAGAGTCTAAGAAAGAGTATATGCAAAGGCCCTTATTTCTGAGTTTGGTTTCAGTCAGGGTAAAACCCATTTGGGCAGCTTTTAATGTCTTGCATTGCATTAAGAATATCTCTATACTTGTGTGCTTTATTTTATGAGAAGATATTTTCAATACAAGATTACAAAAGACTGTTAAAATGGTATAGGCACAGATTTGCCCTGATAGAAGCCAATCTCCTTGTTTCCACACACATTTTCTTAATGGGCGGTTTGGTTTGATAGTAAACAGAAAGTTTAGGAAAATTTTTAAACGAATTTCACAATCAAGGTAATATTCATCGTTCAAAATTTAATATTTGAAAATTCACTCAGTCCCTTTCCCTTAACATGTTAAAATATAACTTCGACTGCGCARTAATTCAAACTTACTTATTTAATATTTCATATGTTGGATCTATAAGAGAAAAAAAATTGTGGATTTCTTTTGAGGCAACAGCTGGTGAATATTTATAATGTCAATGTGATGTGAGCCCTACAAACAAAGGACTACAGCATGTAACAAATCTACCTATAACCATCAAATAAAGGTGCCTTGCTTAGAAGAAGAGCAGATTATTCCTTGGTTGTTGACCGTCCCAGAATGAATCCAGTTTGTTTATGTTTTGTATTCCCACGAATTAGAGGACGTTTGGGACCATTATAAGTGATTAGTTTCATCTGCTTTTTTGAAAAACATAAAAATAAATGGGATATGGGTAGATCGGACGTTTAAATTGATTTGATTTATGAGACATCTCAAAAAGTGATCAACTTTTTCAAATTCCAACGCACATTGTTACTAAGATCACTAAGACGATTCAAAAAACGAAAATTTAGCGTTTCAAAAAATTCTTCCTTTTTTGAATCCCAAAACTAATTATTACAAAAACGTTTTCTTAAAAAAACAGGACTATATTAATTGCCGTTTTTTTATCAGTTCCGTTTATTTGTTGAAGTGGCATGCATGGCACATCAGCAGAAACGGAACGGTCATGAAATGCACCGGTCCCAAGCAATGGTATGCTAGCGAGCTCAAAATATACGCTATTTAATGCCTTGAATGTTGGGGGGGGGGGGGATTACCTTTCAAATAAGCATGTTTATATGATATAATAAAACCATTAATGAATTTCATTACATTATTAATAATATTCTAATTGTGTGATATAACAAATTAACACAATAACTACTTAGGTTTGAGGACAGATCATGGATCGTGGACCATTGTTGATAACTTGATAATTTGAAAATGCAATGGGAAGTAGTAGCCTACATGACCCCATGGGCCTTTGTATGGTGTCTACAAATAAACATGCCACCGCCCATCCATGACTATGAGATGAGGGATGTTTCATCTACTCTGAGGCAACAAGTCATTGGTGATGTCTGCCACCTCCTTGGTACTAAAAAGGCTCTGTTTTCAAATCCAGACAGAAGGAAGGATGCTTAACTTCACTTTAAAATAATTGGGCAATATCACCAAAATTAGGCGTGCATCGAAGAAAGGATTTTGAATGGAAATAACCCATAATTTAACAATGGATATGACAATGAACAGAACAGAAGGATGAAACAGGATTCCTATATCCGCTCGGCACCCCATATGACTCACCCCAACCTCGCCACCCACATTTTTGTCCACTCCGATCAATCTCAATGCAAAAGAAACAAAATATATATATATATATATATATATATACTTTTCAGGAGTTGCGGCCTTGATAATTTTTGCTTTCCCTTATATGTAAGATAATGTGTATGAAACCTACTTTTATTTTAAGTAAACTGTATTATTACCGACTTTGATACATTTTGGCCTTTTAAGAAACTAAGTCAAGTCCCAAGTTGATTTAAAGGTCAAGCTTTCTGAGCCAGCCCTGAGATTTGTAGAAACTTTTGGGCATATCACATTTTTTGGTTTGAAGGTAAGCTAGAATGGATTTGAAGTCTGATTAATTTTTGGGGCTATCATCAATGGGCTCATTTTTTGGCTTGAAGGTAAGCCCATTGGGCCTCTATGGAGAACGTTTCTAATTCTAGGTACTGGTGGACATCTCGGATTAGATCCTCCCAGGCCCACTGGTCCAGTGCTGAACCCATATGATATGTGTGGAGAAAATTTTGCCCCTTTTTCCCTTGCCTTGATTACAGGCCACATGAGGAACAAAGAAATTTCAGTCACATAATCAGCCAAAGCTAATTGGACAAGCCATAAGGAATAGTAGACCCACATCACGATTCATGATTAAACAAAAAGGTTTGGGTCGTAGGTCGTATCTAGCCCTCTTAGTTGCTTCACCTTCATGTTCATGGCCTCATGGGCCATTTATACAGATGTATGTTGAATTGACTACACATTTACACCGGGATCATCAGACTCCGTTGTCGTAAGGAAAAGAAGTCGAGTCCAGCCACTCATCGCCGGTAATGAACTGGGAAACGGTGAAATTCCACGCGTCGTCATAATTCATGATGTGGTAACCTGGCCAGGTGACTCGGCCGTCAGTGGCTGAACCAGGTCCAGTATTTTGATACTCTCCATAATATAAGGTATCGAGGCCTTGGTCGTCGGACCATTGTGTCCAGCCGATGGAATCGATGAGATTATCAAGGTAGGAGTCCATGTACACCGTCCTAGAGTAAGGTCGCCATGGCCTACCCAGGTAAGTCTTGACAGTAGCCATGTTAGAGGATAAGTCTTGGGAGGCAATAATGGAGCAGTTCTGTATGGAAATCCCAGTGTCCTCATCTGGGGTGTCTCTGGATTGAGCAGTGACCACATTAAATTGTCCTGGCATGGGCAGTCTTGCTATCATGTTACATCCCTGGAACACAACTGCTGCATTTCCAAATATGAAATCCACCGTCCCACTTATGTCGCACTCTCTGTAGAACTGCCGAAAGGAATGTACATACAACGTATCTTGGTACCCCGTTATCTTGCACAGGTAGACTGCCGACAAGTCTGCACTCACCCGTAAGGCCACCGCTTGGTGTTTTCCGGGTCCCGCCGTGTTCGTGAAGGCTATGTCCCGCGCCAAGAACCCATCGCCCGATACGGCTGAAATCAATTATTAATATAATAAATTTATGCAGCTCTATAATTAATTACATTAATATATTATATTGTCAAAATCGTCAAAAATAAAATCCTGTTTTCTTAATTGAATGTTGAAAGTTGAAACCCATTTACTTAATTAATTTATTGAAAGATTAATGGAATGCACCCCAACCATGATTTTCATTCACATCAATGGACAGTGCATTAAATAAAGATGATAAGCAAGCAAGAACATGAACACGAACATCATATCCCTTAATTATTAACATAAAAAAATAATATTGAAAATTAAATTAGCAAAATTGACATTACCTAGCTACACAAAAGAAAGGTAGGACTAATTCGAAGAAACTAATTATAAGATTAATTGTTGAGAGAATTTGGTTTGGAGTTTGGACTCACCCACAGTTGCAGATCTGAAAGTAGTCCAACCATCCCCCACACTTCTGGAACCTGTGATTTCCGTCACATCTGCTCCATCTCCCAGAAGAACGATGTTAGTCTTATGCCTTGGGATGTACACATTTTCCTGGTACACCCCTTGTGTAACATAGATAATTGTCCTGTCATAGCTGTTGTTAGGGGCAAAATTAATGGCGTCCGTGATGGTGGTGAAGTTTCCGCTTCCGTCCTTAGCCACCGTAAGCACGTCATTTGGGTTGTAACCACCGTCGAAGCTTTGTAGTACCCGACGATCTTTCCGGGACRTCCACGCCGGAAAACCCATGAGGCGCCTGTTAGCACCACCTTTGGTTTTTAATTGAGGCACTGCAGGGTTAGGCAACATTGAAAGTGAATTACTAATGTATTTGTAAGTATTGACGACGGAGTCGACTAGGACAGGTTTAAGAAGACCAGTGGCAGAATCGAGGCCCTCCAAGCAGGTGTCTTTATTGGTGAGGGCTGCACTAAGAAAGGCTCTCGCATCAGATAATTTACGAGAATCGGCTGAACTACTAATCCGAGACATGGATCTCTGTAGAGAATTCATGGTAATTTGGTGGAGTTCCTGGCAATCTTGAATGGCTCCTCTTTGGTTTTCAACGACACCCGAGCTTCCAATATTGAGCAAGAGATCCAAAAGCTTGCCGCCCTCCGAGAATGCGGTCTCGAGGGATTGAAGAACAAAGTTAATGATGTTAGGATTAATATCTATTGAAATAGAGAGCTTCAAGGAATCAAAACAGGCATCGGGATATGGTGTAGATTTGCACACAGATCTTATTGAAGCCAAATGGGCATCTAATAAAGTAGTGGTGGGAGAAGATGCAGATGTTGAGTTGAGAGCCCATGTCCCTGTAAAGAATATTGCATACACTAGCAGAAATGCTTTGAGAAGGCATGGAGCCATGAGAGGTAGCTGATTAATATTGCAACTCTCAAATTTTTGGTACAAGAAACCTCAGGTTGATGAGGTTACTGAATAGGTGAGAAGAACCTAAAATTGCAAGGATTTCATGGATACAATATATTCAACACTTGGTTTCTGATGATGTGATTCTTGAATACATTCATGGTTTTATATATTGATATTATGGGCACTTTTGAAGTAGCGATTTCCTTTACTGTTGTCGGCTTTTCTGAGAAATTTCTGGAATAGTTTCTGACTTGGGGTAATGGATTGTTGGACTGCGTTCGCTTAGTTTCAAGTATTCTTTCTAAGAAGTATATACCACCGATAAAATTGAATATCGTACGGCTTATTTCAATTGAGATTTGAAAGGATCTTTTTTATTTATTTTATTTTATAGATACATTTTTAGTGGCCAAACTGTTTTGTTTTTCGGTAATGGTGGCCGAACTTTATTCATGCTTTTTTTCAAACAGAAAGTAGCTTAGAGATTTTGAGTCCAAAGATGCCAACAGAAAGATTTATCACTTTCCGTTTGGGTTGCAAATCTTTCTTTAAGATGTCTAACTGATGGGCTTCTTTATTATGGGCCCCCACACCAAAGTCCACGCCAATCATGTTTTATCAATTTTTAAGCCATGGTTGAACCGATCAGTTCGATATATTGATTTTAGAGCTGTCAATGGATCGGGTCAATCAAACAGAATCGAACCGAACTCAATCGATTTTATCGTTTATGGTTTTGAGTTTCGTGTTTCAATTATAATTAGGTTGGGACTGGTGGTTTAGGCTATAAATATAAATACAGACCAGTGTAAAACTCTATTTTCGGTCTGTGTTTTCATATGTTTGGTTGGAGTATAAGTTTTACATTGAAAATTGATATAAATTTTACACCGTTGAATTTTACATCGATAATCAATGTATATACTACATCAATTTTATTGATGTACTTTCATATCAATTATCGCACTTTAAGCTGAGTTTGGAAGGAGCACAAATACAAATATGTACAGTGTAAATACATACAAAATATAAAGTTTTGCACCCTACGAATTTGTATTTGTACTCCTTTTAAACTCACTCTTAAAAGTTCCAACGGTTCACTCTTTTTAAATCCATCAACATTGAAACCTTTACATCGATAACAGTTTACACCGAAAAAATATACATCCTTAATAATCATTGAAGGTTTTCTTGTAATTTTGTTATGTCTAAAAAGTTAAATTTCATACAGTATATCAGATAATTTCAATTAAAAGACAGGTTTGCTATTTACTATCTTTTTATTATAAAAAAAATGAAATTTCGAGTTGTTATATTATAAGTAATTCTAGATGTCACATATACTCAGGTCTAATTGGGGCAAGATCCGATTAGCATGATTAATAACTGGTTTGGTTTTATAGAGCTTTTTATAGAACCAATAGGTTGTGGTTTGGGACTGCATTTGCATAGCTGTCTTTTTCAGTTTGATTCAGTGCTCACAAAGACCGTGTTCATATTGTTCTCACAGTCTTTTACAGCTGTGCATTGGGAATATTTTTATATTTGTATGATTTTTTTGATGGAAAGATATTCCCAATGCAAGACTGTAAGAACAGTATAAACACAATCTTATGAAGACCAAATCCGGATTTTATCTCTAAATCCTATACTGGATCATCTTCATCTAGCCAGGTTTTCGATTATTATTTGACACTGTTAGATAATAATAATAATAATAATAATAATAATAATCACAATTGTTTTTATTTAAAATGAATAAATAAATAATATAAAAAACATTCTATTTTTTTTTTGTAATTTTCTACATATTTAAAAAAAGTGATTCCGTTTTATTTATTTATTTATTTATTTTTTCAGAACATCGCAGTAATTATAATTTTTACAAAATGGTAAATATATAAAATGGGTCCTGCAAGATCTTATGTAAACCAGGAAGCCCACAGAATTCAGTAGTTTAGCATAGTTAGATGGAAAAATCCATGATACCGGAAATCATTTTACCGCAGTTGAATTTTGATGGAACCGACTGATTATTCAACTTATGCAAAACGAGAAAGGAGAAACTATGTCTATAATAATAGATATATCAAATACAAAGAAGAAGTAGTTAGTCGAAAAATATTAAAACATGGTTTAGGAAAATGTTAAATTAATCCACCGACGAGATGGACAATGGCAACAAAATGGAGGGTCACATTCAATAAAGTACGTGTTCCCTTCAGACATAAGCAGAAGAAAGATATTTAGAAGTTGAAGAATCAGATCCATGAACAATAGTGAATGCGACCTCCACGTGTTTGGACAACCAAAATGCCGACACTCGTTTGCAAGTCAATGATGCTTCCTTCTTATTCAAGCTGCTTATATAGGGTAAGCGTTCCTTTCAACATGATGTTTTAATTTCCGCCTTAATAATCCCTTTCTTAACTTAATTTCCATAATAAATTAACGCTGCCCTGTTACAACTTACAAACTTGATGTTTTGACGCGTAACATTCATAAATGCTCAAGTTTATAATTACAAACTAGAAAAATTAATACTAATGAAAAATATAACCAAAAAAGTATGTTAAGTATGCTAGACAAAAACAGGTAATTACGAGCATCGGAAGAAAAACGATTTGGGAAATCTTTGCAACTGATGTAAATTTAAAAAATGTTAAAAAGGTCGGCTAAATGCTTTCAACAGAGATGAAGCCAACAAGTGTGTCTCCCTACTAAATTAGTCCGGATCAACTACGCAAAACCCTTAAGAGGCATAGAGAAAACAGGTACCATGGCACCCAATTCATGGTAATATTGAAAACATGAAAGCGGGAGAAGTCCAAGATTGCCTCCTATTACAGAACTCTTCCTAACGCTCCACCCTCATAACATTCAAGGAATGAGCCTCATAGAAAGCCAAAAGTGTACAAAAGAAGTTGTAACTTGTAACTGTAGGGACGTAAAATGTGCAAAAAAACCACCCATCCATGTCTTTATAGAAACCAAAATAGTTGGAACATGAACATCACCGGAGAGAACTCAAAGATTGCCGGAAAAAAGGCTTGTCAGGAATAATAACATCATTACAAGACAAATGGATACCCATGGCAGACCCCAAAGGCGTACCACACAAAAATTTGACCAAGGCCCAACAGAAATAAGAAAAATATCAGAGGGAAAATGAAGATTAGATTGAATAGAACCAAAGATCCCAAGTCTGCTCCATAGGCTGGATCAAAACCGTCGTCTCTCAAATCTATTCAAAGAACTTCTCCAACATGAAGAGAAATAAATGAAAACTCACATCCATAGATGTGACAAAGAAACCCTCACATAGAGTGTGAGAGAGAAAAACGCACATGCATGGATGTGAGAGAGAAACCCCTCCCTCTGAGAGAGACTCTCTCACGCAATAAAAWACCCTCCCAAAGAGAGAAATCCTCCCATGGGTCATCCTAATAACTTTAGCTTCTCTTTCAATAAGAAATGTTTAGGTAATAACTATTGTAAGCCTAAAGTTATGAACAGATAGAGCTGTCAATAAACTCCTAAGCTGGATATCCTTTGTATCCAATTATTTCAGATTTGGATGTTAGAAATTGTATCTACTTAATAATTAGATTGACATAGATGTAATTTCAATTGATTTAATTAAACATTATTATTTTATTTATATATGTTATATATAATTAATAATTTTAAGATTTACATTTATATATATATATATATTAATTATAGGGGTTCTATTATAATACCGAAAAACCATGGTATCAAAAAAAAAAAAAACTTTTAACCATTCATTCAATCAATTAGTATCACAGCTAGGGGTGACAAATGGGTGGGTTGGGTTGGGTTGGGTTGGGTAAGGGTTGACTATCAATCCACCCATATTGACCCACCAACCCACCATGACCCATCATCAATCCTTGTTAAAGGATCATAACCCACTCTAACCTTGACCCACTTGGCCCATCCATATTAACCCTTAACCACCATCACCCATACTAACCCACCTACCTTTACTTATAAATACAAAAATGGGTCGGAACGGCCTGTATTTTCAAAATAATAAATTTTGAGAGAATAATCTCTCTCAAGACTGCTACGTGACAAAAATGAGTAAGGTCAACCCGTATACCCGAAAATGAAAAAATTGTAGATAAATGCAGAAAATACAAAAAAAATACCAAACAATTATAGAAAAATTCAAAAAATAGCAAAAAAACTAAAACATTACATAAAATTCAGAACTTTTGTAGAAAAATCAGAAAATATACAAAAAATACTAGAAAATTGTAGGAAATGCATGAAAAACTCCAAAAATGCAAAAAAAGTATGTATAAAAGCACAAAAATTTGTAAAAATACCAAAAAAATTTAGAAAATGTAGAAAAAACCTARAAATTGTAAAAAAATGCAAAATATACAAAAAATAACAAAAAATCGCAGAAAATGCAAAAAATGAAAAAACAGCAAAACTTTTATAAAAGTGCTTATGAAAGTACTTTTACAAGAGTACTTCTATAAAAGTGCTTTCATAAAAGTACTTTCATAAAAGCACTTTTATAATAGTGMTTTTGTGTAAAAGTACTTTTATAAAAGTGATTTTATGCTTTCATAAAAGTGTTTTCATAAAAGTGCTTTCATAAAAGTACTTTTATAAAAGTACTTTCATGTAAAAGTGCTTTTGTAAAAGTACTTTCTTCGTGTAAAAGTACTTTTATAAAAGTGCTTTCGTAAAAGTCCTTTTCATAAAATTGCTTTTGTGAAAGTGCTTTTGTATAAAATTGCATGTGAATACAAAAATTAATAAAATCTATTTTATTTCACTTTAAATCTCAAAATAAAATGTGGCGTGGTAGTTTGGAAGTCTAATGAGATGTGGCCAGGGTAGGAGGCGTGAGTTCAAATCATTGCAACTTCTAATATTTGATATTTGGCGAATACAGATAGAGTTGACGTTGACCCAACCCATCCTGACCCTAATGGGTACCCTCGACCCAACCCACCCTGACCCTTTTCCACTGATTCTAATGGGCTACTCGACCCATATTGACCCACCAATAGATTGAGTGGGTTTGGGTGGATTCCAAGGTGAGTGAGTTTGGTGAGTCAAATGAGTTAGGGTCAAGATTGCCAGCCCTAATTCATAGGCATTCAAGTGGTTTTTATCAAA